AGTGAGGAGCCCAGCCCCTGAATGAGGGACATCAGATAGGGTCAGACTCACTTGTTCAAGCAGCGGTGGCCCACAGTCTGTGCAAGCGTTGTTGCAAATGGAGAGACTGGCCCAAGGGTGCTCTGTGCCCTTGGGAGGTGCTTGCTGGAATCAGAACAGGGCCTACAGACAACTGAAAGATGATTAGTTACAGCGGTGGGAGTAGTGTGGATTGACCCCTGCATTTCCCTCTCTATCCCACCCGCAGCACTTGCGACCAGGTGGTGGCTTTGGCAATGTCTGCCCAGGTAAGAGCAATGCCTAAGGAAACTTGGTCATATAACCAGGACAGTGCCTGGGATAGGGGGGTTAGTAGACAGCCCCAGAGAAGAACAAGGTTCATCAACACCCACAAGAATTGCTGCCAAGGTATCCAGCCCAGTCTCATATCCCTCCCCAGTTCCTCCCAGTACTTTCACTGAAAATATGACAATAATATAAATTCACCTCAACGGGTAGTCACAGTTCTTATTCATTAGGCACCCCCCATGAGTGAGGCACACATATGACTTGTATATTAGTTTCCTTCTGCTGATGTAACAAATTACCACGAATTGAGTGGCTTAAGGCAATCAAATTTAATCTTTTACAGTTCTGGGGGTCAGAAGTCTAAAATGTGCCTGCAGGTCTGTGTTCCTCCTGGAGGCTCAAGGGGAGAATCCATTTCCTTGTCTTCTTCAGCCTCTAGAGGCGCCTTACTTTCCTGCGCTCATACCCTCTTCCTCCATCTACAAGGCCAGCAATGTAGCATCTTCTCTCCTCTTTCATCTCTGCTTCCATCCTTACATCTTTCACTGAATCTAACTCTACTGTCCCCCTTCTACAGGGACTCTCTCTTTACCTTGGGTCCACCCAGATAGTCCAGGATAATCCTCCTCTAAAGATCCTGAACTTAATCACACCTGCAAAATTCCCCTCTGCCATATAAGGTAGACTATTCACAGATTCTGGGGATAGGAGTGTGGACATCTTTGGGAACTGGGGGGCATTTTCAACCTACCTCATCTTGCATGAGATATTTCTCTTTAATCTTCACAACACCACTATGGTATGCTTATTCGCAGATGGAGAAACTGAGGCTTAGAAAGGTTAAATAACATGCTGGACTTGACACAGCTTGGAAGGGGCAGAGCCAAGTATGGAAAAACTAGTAAGGTGAGTAAGGATCCTTGTCTTGCCCTTCTACACGTCTGTCCCTTTTCTCATCTCTTTCCC